GACCCTCCTCCTACTAAGCTCCAGCTTATCAACCATATATGAACATTGATCGAGGCACTTCTGACACAATGGACTTCGTTTGATATCTTAGCTGAGATCCGTCCGGGTCCGTCCCTCCCTTCATTGCCACGTCGAGTTACGAGTTACGAGTTACGCCAGACGGCTGTCTGCTCCCTCGAACTATTCCCACCTGTCATACCTAGTTTCCTCCGCCTCTGAAACAAGTTTGAGTCAATCTTCCGATACTTCCGCACTGTCCCAGCGTCCCGAGCCGCACATATCTACGTTTAGTCTTGCATACTATGCGCCTTCGCCGAGCGGCCCGCGTGATCCTCGTCGGTGCGCCGGGAGTTGGCAAAGGAACCCAGTCCGAACGCCTGCTCTCCCGCTTCCCCCAATTGTCCGCCATCTCGTCCGGCGACCTTCTCCGTCACAATGTCAAGAACCGCACACCCCTCGGCATCAAGGTCGAGAACACCATGAGGACCGGTGGCCTGGTTCCCGATGAAATGATCCTCCGCTTGATCACCAATGAGCTTTCACAGCGCGGGTGGCTGTCGGGTGGCCGGCCGAGCTTTATGAGCATGGCATCTGCTGCCTCGGGTCATGCTTTGGAATCATCTATTCCGGGTCTAGATTCAGATCCAAATGCAGGCGCAAGTCTGTCACGCCAAGCATCCGAGGACCCGACAGCCTCGTTCCTGCTAGACGGCTTCCCCCGCACTGCGGTCCAGGCCGAGCGGCTGGACGATATCGTACCTATCAACTGGGTGGTGTCTCTCCAGACCCCCTTTGAGGTGATTATGGAGCGCATATCGTCGCGATGGGTACATGAGCCATCAGGTCGTGTATACAACACCACATTCAATGCTCCGAAAATACCCGGACGTGATGATATCACGGGCGAACCACTCGTGCAACGCGCCGACGATAGCGAGGAGGTCTATCGTACGCGTTTCCAGAAGTTCCGCGAAACTAGCGAACCTTTGCTGGAGCATTATGCCAAAAAGGGCGTCCTATGGGAAGTCCATGGCCAAAGTAGTGATGAGATTAGCCCCCAGTTGTTTGGGGAGTTTGAGAAACGATTTCTATGATGAGATTACCGGCCACTGCGGGTTTTCCCCTTGGTTAGGAGTGAGATCTTGACTTAGGCGCGTATGCCTAATGTATATTACAGAGTGGGATGTACGATCTTGAGAAATGTCGATGAGCGAGTAAAGGCCTAGCATAACGACCTAATAGGATGAGTACATCCTGCAGTCAGTATATATCGATGATCATATCATCATTCACGCGGGATTCGGTGTTGCGGACTTGAGTTATCTGTCGAATTACCAGATGGCAGCGGAGTGGAATCTCTGAAGCTACACTTTCTAGTGATTGAATTCAACAAATTGCGTCTTTCGAGCGTCCATCGCTTCATGACCGCTATCTGCCACATAATCAATGTGTATGCCAATTGATCCTTACTAGCCCATGCACACGGATTTCTTTCTGGGCAGCCGAACTGATATAACCTTGGGAGATAGTAAACAAGCCTCGCTATTTTAAGCATGGGATTTTTCATGCTTGAATATCTCAGGATCTTAGAGCATTTATCACAAAGCTAGCTTCTAGCCTCACGTAATGTTTAAACTGGCTAAGATTAGCCGTGCTTACCCCTCGAGGGGCTGATCCTAAGGCGAGTAAATGGGGCTACCAATAAGATCAACTTGAACGCGCGGGGCATCTCTTGTCTGCATATATATGTAGTATGTCACCATCCTCGTCTTTATCCCACCAACTGCCTCACGTATCTACCGTGTGAGTTAGAAACTTTGCATGGCTACACTTATACATTTATCTCGGGTCGGCCCGGTCTAAAGTTTTGACTCAGCTCGTCCTTCTATAACGATTACTTCAAGCGAGATCGCATTTGATTGGGACCCTGCCCGGTCTTAGAGTTTCTTAACATGCAAACGCATTTTCATCCTTTTTCTGCTCGGACCTAGATATATAGACTTTTCGCCTCTCCTACGCGTTGTCCTTTCTCTTTCATCATCGCTATACTTTTGCGACTCCAACCTCCATCTATCCTGATGCCTCGAGGTGAATCTCAACGTGTCGACCTGCTCTTGCGGCAGTTCCTCGAATTACCCTCATCCTGAATAGATTTACCCATCGCTCTACTTTCAGCTCGCCCATCCTCCCAAGATACCTCGAACCGCTTCCCCTGTCTTTCAACTAGATCCTTTATTTGTATCTTCAAGATGGCTGTTATTGCGAAAATTCCCTTGACATTGTACGGTTATATTGTTTTTGCATCGATAGCAACTGCATTTTGGCTCCCTGATAAATGTCCTATTTTCTTTGAGAAGCAGAGACTGTGCGACCCGATCGCACCAACGATCTTTCTCCCTCCCTCCGTAAATAGTGCTGCCAAAATCAGGTCAGCTCGCGTCGCAGATAATAGCGTCTTCGTCGATCTCCTGAACGCCCTAAACGTCACACAATCGGAATATTTCGCCCCATGGGTCGGTACCTGGCCCGATGCCATCGACTGGACAGCTGCCGTAATAGGCACGCACGTTTCGGGTGCGACTCGAAGCATTTCCGAAGACCTGGTCTTCCTGCATACAAAATGGGACAGCACCTCTGATTGGAAACGAGCCTCCAATATAATAGACAACTATTTTGCACAGACGATCGCATATTATTTCGGTCAGGATGCGTTCGCCATTAGAAACGAAGCGTACGACGATATTCTCTGGGTGGTTTTGGGCTGGCTCGAGAGCGTTAAATTCATTAATACTCATAGCGACTTATATTACGCCCTCGCGAGTCCAAACCTCTCTGGGGCAACGCCGGGTGTCGCTGATGGAGTCTTCAACGGCCACGCAACGATTCCTCATCAGCCATATCATGGAAACATATGGGTCTCAGCATTCGCCCACAGGGCGCGCATATTCTGGGACCTCGCCTCGCACGGGTGGGACACAACGCTGTGTAACGGAGGGATGGTCTGGAATCCCAGGTTACTACCCTACAAAAACGCCATCACCAACGAGCTCTTCATCGCAGCGTCGATATCAATGTACCTCAACTTTCCCGGTGACGACAACGAATCTCCATTCTACGACCGCCCCGACAGATTCAATCCCGGTAACCCGGACTCGAAGGAATACAGAGGTCCTAGAGACGCCAGATACTTGAAGGCGGCCGTGGAAGGCTACCGCTGGTTCCGCAACTCCAACATGACGAACGACCAGGGCTTGATCGTCGATGGATTTCACATAAGCGGTTATCTCGACGAGAACAACAATAACACCCGATGCGACGTCCGCGACGAGATGGTCTACACGTACAACCAAGGCGTCATCCTGACGGGACAGCGCGGGCTCTGGGACGCCACGGGCGCACCCTCGTTCCTCGCAGACGGCCACAATCTCATCCAGAAGGTAATTAAGGCTACTGGTTACGACCTCCTATTAGACCGCCCGTTCGACAACCTCCTGCACGCCAAAACCGGCGTTCTCCCGCGATGGCACGGGCTAGGCCGACTAGGCGTCATGGAAGAGCGCCTCGACGCAAGCGGAACAGGAAGTCAGGACCTGCAAACGTTCAAGGGGATCTTCTTCCACCATCTCACGACGTTCTGCGCCCCTCTGGAGGCACCTTCTCCAGAAGAGTCCGGACTACGGATCCACGCCAACGCCTTCAGGGCGATCAAGGCCTCCCACGCCGACGCCTGCAGGGCATACGGCGGATGGCTGGAGCACAACGCGCGCGCGGCCCTGAAGACGCGGGATGCCGCCGGCCGCTTCGGACAGTGGTGGACGGCGGGCCTGCTGTCGGACGACTGGGTCGGGCCCTGGCCGACGGTCACGAACGACGGCATCGACGACACGCCGGAGAACGCGACCGATTACCGGAACACCGGCGTGCCGACCGATACGACGTGGCGGAGTTCCTTGCCTACTGAGCCCCCGCACACGCGCTACTCGCAGTATGGTCAGACGCCGCTGCAGCCGCGGGCGAGCGTGGAGGACCCGAATGATCGCGGTCGGGGACGCACTGTTGAGACGCAGAGTGGTGGGCTCGGGCTGCTTAGGGCGTATTGGAAGATTACTCAGGTGCCTTAGGATGGATTCATGTCTGAGAGGTTGGGGTTGTGTTTTGGGCTAACTAGATGACAAGATCTCGATTGGGTTGGGTGTTGGTTTTTCTGGTGTTAGGTGCTCAGATTAAAGGGTTTTCTAGGATTGTATACTGGTATGATTTGTTTTACGATGCATCATGACGCTCTCGGGATCTTGCAAAATCTCCGTTTTGTCAGACTACTAGATTTGCTAGGAGATTATTTCGGGATTAGATGCTATCACACGTAACATGCAAACTTCGTCGCAGGCTCTCCCTATAACTGTGAATTCCAATGCTATTGCAATCCAATTCATCGATCTCTCAGATAGATAAATGGTCAAAAATAACGTCAATCACTCACTATCTTGACTCTATCTACAAACAGTCTATCGTATAATACATCCATGTCCCAAACTCAGATGCTTTTGGAGTTCCACTTAATAGATTACGACTTCAGCTTTAGTTTTTGATCACAATGACAGGAAAAGTATATGTCATTGTACCTACCTCTATACTCTAACCTTGCGCAAGGATGTGAGCGACTTAGTAGTACAATACGTGGCCTGGCTGATAGATAGGTGTAGACGGTGTGTATAAAATACTGAAATATAAGAAGTATCCCTTTCACTCTTCGCACCATATCGCATAGCTTTCTTCACATAAGCTACCCGTCTAAGCATTTGCTCAATATCTTAAATTTTTTTCAAACAGCCTCCCTTTCTACACTTGTCAGATATTATGATAGGTACATAAGTAAAGCATCCACCAACCACAAGCACGTCGAGCGTCATTGTGGAGCAGGCTTCGTGGCCAATGGCAAGGCATTTGAGCATTATGATGCAAGATTGAACCTCCGCACCCCAACAAAGCCACAAGCGCGTGGCCTCGTGGCCCAATGGCAAGGCGTCTGACTACGAGATATATCAAACTGTACTACAATTTGATATTCTGACGATAATCAGGAGATTCTGGGTTCGACCCCCAGCGAGGTCAACCAAGTAATTATTTTGTAATTGTTTTTTTTTTCTTTCTCTTTAGATCACCAGTATTTTTCTTCGCCAAGAGGGACATTCCAACCTTAGTTTCTTGCAAATAATTTGCGACGGAGGCTTACAGGGATCTAGAAAGCTCTATTTTCGTATATTGTGTGTGTGTGTGTGTGCCCACTAATAACTACGTCTAGGGGCTCTCTTCAATACAATAAGTGATCACGTGAGTAGAATCGGCGTGATCCACTTCTCCGTGACACAAATGACCGGCTCGTCTCGGCCCGGTGGAATTGGCCCTCAGAAACATCAACGGCGTGTAGATGGATAGTTCTACAAGGACATAGACAAAGCTTGCCGTTGTTTAGGTACGTGCGTATTTGACATAATCAACGATATTCTTGTTGTATAACGAGGTAGATAGGTGTAGGCTGTATGTAATCAGAGCATAATGCATAATAGTAAGTTTTAAAAAGCATCCAAGTTTAAAGCGTCGATTGTAAAGGCTACGCTAGACTGCCCGACAGACCAGCTTAAACATTCTTAAGGTACTATAGCTTGATTATTATGATAGGAACAAAATAGAAAGAAAGTTGAGAGTTTAGTTCGACAAGGAAGGATAATTGGTGTTAGGTTGTTTTTGACCGTATATTCATTCCAGTGAGAGGGTGTCTTAATTAATGTAAAAGAAAACAATCATTGGAGTTTACCAAGGGAAACACTAAAACATGTTTTCATATAGATAGAGAACAAGACAGAGAGTACTTCTAATTTAGAATGCAATAGATTCTATCACCGTCAAGTTTTCCACTCTCTCAATCTCCCTAGCCTCGGCATCTAATATAGCATTGTTCCTCCAAGGAATGGTACGGCCCTAGTCGTATATACCGGCGACGGGATAAATTGAAGAGAACCAGCATTTGCTCTAAGAAAGTGTCTTCTCTTTTGTCTTATTAGGATCGCGTGGGCTGATCCGATGATCAGATCTCGTCTTCAATTTGGCTTTCGAGAGAAAATTGGTAATAGAGCATGTAGTTCGGTAGCTATTGGTAATATATCATTGGGGATCGTTAGGTAGATAGATATAGATTGCTATCTCGGAGTTTGTCTCACCTGTGTCTTTTACGTGTTTTAAGGCCGCAGTACCGCACGTTTTGGTCGCTGAACTTGATTAACCGATATTTTAGCAGGAAGAGGTCTATGTGTTCTATGCCTGCCGCGGCGCCGGGCTTCGATATTAGGTACTTCATGTATTAATTAGCTAGCTAGATCTGATTTGAGATGAATAATCTTAGTGACCTTGGGTACGTCGCTGCCTTTGAAGGTAGTTCTGGACCATAGCTGCAATAGCGATGGTTGAGGCGAGGGAGCCAAAAATGATAGTGTAGACAACTGCGGGTGTCATTTCGAAGTTGATAAAGTCAATAAATCAAAGATCTATGTATATCTAGCACTGCTCAAGATGTAATAATTTCGAAGTGTTTTGTCGGTATGTTTTTTCCCTCAAAGGGAGTGTCGGCACGTAATATTTATAAACATTCTAGAATGTGCACTGGCTCATCGTTCAATACTCCTTGGCATTCTAAAATGCGAAGCAGTATTGAACAGTGAGCCAGTGCTACAAAGTTCAGCATCTACAGATGCTGCTTCGATGTAGCGATGCCTAATGGTTGTCATAGCCGAGGCAAGGTTGCATTCAAATCCGGAATGGTGGAAGATAGGTTGTCACTAAGTGCTCACGGAAGCTTATTGAGCCAGTGCTATTTACCATACAAGTGTCTGGCATAGGTATATGCAAAGGGGTAATACCGCATCCTGAGATGCTAGGTATTCTAGTCCAGGTTGGTTTTATTGATGATTCGTGGTGATATGACACTTACTATTACACCAAATGAATACCTAGAGTGCACTGGCTCACCCTTGCATTCGAAATTGGAGTTAAAAGATTTATGGAACGCATACGCCATTGCGCAGTCTCGCATGGGGCAGTGCAAGGTACGCATTGGCTCAGTTGCATTCCAAGGTTGGATCAACTATACGGGCTGAATTACTCTAGGAATTGCACTGGCTCAATTACACTGGCTCACCGACTCACAAGGTTGCACTGCTGCTCGGTTGCGCTGGCTCAATTGCACTGGCTCACCGACTCACTTGCAACTACTGCTCGGTTGCGCTGGCTCAGTTGCGCTGCTGCTCACTTGCACCGGCTCAGCTGCACTGATGCTGACCTACACATTGGCCAATATGCATACATAAGGTACCTAATATACAGGCCTCAATTCCTTTTTATGAAAGGCCTATAAAAGACCTCTTCTTCCGTCAACCCCATCATCGCTGGCGGCCAGAAGACTAGCTACTAAGGTACTATATCGCTTCAATCATAACCGACAATTACTTAGCCCTCTATTCATATCGCATTCCCATTAACAGTTTCTTCATTTAATTAGCCATGCCGGCCCATGGTCCCTACATGAAATTACTCGGGAAATTCTACTGCCTGTGTGGAGTAGGCTTTACTAGGAACCATAATCGAAAAAACCATATAAAGGTGAAGAATGATGATGAGCGAAATCACATCTGCGGCGTCTGCAACAGGGCATTTTTTCGAAAGAGTGACCTAAAGTCGCACGAAGAGACACACACGAGCGAGAAGCGGTATAAATGTGTATGGGGCTGCGGGAGACCCTTTAAGCGTCGACTTAACATGGAGAGGCACATGGTCACCTGCAGAGCTCAGGCCAAGTCTGTGCAAACTGGTTCTATGCAAACTCAGTCTCACGACCCAGAGCGTGGTTTGTCCTAATTGCTAAAAATCGTCTTAATTTTACTGACTTTTCGCTAGATAATACCCCCCATGTCTCTGACACAGACGTGGAAGTGCTGGAAAGACACCATGCAATTTCCGGCTCGGAATTCCACGATGAAATTGAGCAAATAATGTTGCTTAAAGACAACTTGGACGATTTAGTAAAAAAGGTTTTGACTGGCCAGGACACGAATTTCATCGAGACAAGGGGCAAAATTATGGAACATCTTGAAACCTTCCGTAATGCTTCTATTCGCATATGGGACAAATTGGGTAAGTGTGAATTCAGATGTCACTGATATATTCTTGCTAACTCTAATTTCTAGATCACACCGAAAAGAAACGTCTCTCAGAATGGATTCAATCCCTAGGACCTCCGAAGGATAATCTTCGACACGATTACTTTCAGGATAGCGCGATGTTGATATATAGGTTAGAAAACCAAATCGATTATATTATCACTGGATTTGGTGACATAGCCCACTAGCCTGAGTAGGGCTTAGTTAGGTATGTTGTAGTTCAGGGCTGCGGAGGCATTAGGTCCATCTTGAAATGAAAGGTAGATGATCGATTCCAGAATTACATGTCTAAATGGTTATTAGGACGTGTTCTAGCATTACCACCTACCTACCAACCAAGAAAACTTAGGTGTTGTGTATGATTGATAAAGCGAAATATGATACAGTATTGTGTCCTATCATTCTTATGCGGTTCCCCTCGTCCTCTTGACTCCCATGCGCCTTTCCTTGCCCAAAAACCGGTAAGAAAATATTGATGTAATCAAGCAATGAAGTTATCTGTAGAAGAGTCCTGTAATGGTTTGGAAAGGCCGAGTTGTCAACAACCCCGAATAATACATAAGTCCTTTATATCAAGGGACCCCAAAGCTCTTAGTTGTTTCGCCACTCATTCTCATTGTTCACGCCAGGGGGTACGTTCTTATTCGGGTTTGTGTTTGATCCCGACGGGGTGCCGTCATCCTCGTCATCATCATCATCAAGGGCCCGTGCCAGCTCATCAGGATCCTTCATCTTAGCATCCGGATCAACAACTCCAGAGATTTCATCATTCGGATCGAGACGCTCATGCTCAAGCGTCGTATCGTCGGCACTAATCGAGATACCTCGGGCGCCCCACTTTGATCTCCGCTGAGACGAGGCATTGCCATTTTCGTCACCGTTTAGAGCCGGGGTGCTCTCCTCATCTTCTTGGTCGTTTTCGAAATGCTTGTTGCCAAAAATGCGATTGAGAAGCCAGCCCCGCCGGATATCATCAGAGTCGACGATGCCACCGTACCGGAGCTTAACTCGTTGTCGCGTGTAGTACACCCAGAAGAAATCGAAATAGAGGGCAGTCTGGATGATGCCGAAGATGACTGACACGGCGTTCGGTTTCCGGTCGTTGGGGTCCAGCTCCCTCCAGATCCAGTTGATGCAGTAGAGAGCGCGATACGACCCCAAGGAAATGAGGTAGAAAGAATCGATGACGGTCGGGACACTCGTTTGTCGGAGCAGAAGTAGCTGAGGTAGGACGCAGATCGACTCGAGGATTTGCGAGAAATCCCAAACCCACTGTGAACATAATGAGGCACAAGCTACAGAAGCGCAAGCAGGGGGGGGGTACGAACCGTGAAGAAAGACCATTGCTTCTTGCCCTCAAAGATGAGCATTACAAATGGAGCGATTAGTAGAGAGCCGGCAAGAATGCCAGCTCCTAGTTTCCAGGCAATCTCCCGCTCCCTCGTTCGTGGATAGATCCAGCGCATGATGCCGATTATATAGATGGAGGAGAGGATATAGAACAACTTGAAGAAGTAGTTCCATGTTGACGTCTCGGTGAATATATCGGTATACCGCGAGCAGAAAACGACGGCATACAGGACCTGTGTAATCCATGAGACGCCTATTTGGAGGGTTAGCTTTGGTGACGCGTCCAGGGTTGAGTTCTCGTCGAAGCACAAGTACCTTCAGCACTGCGATTGCGGTGAATGGCATAGATCAGGATGACTTTTGAGAGAAGATGGGATACATCTCCCAAGATACGAAAGATCTATGGCATAAGTTAGAAGACTGCGACACAACAGAACTTATGCGATAGGTGTAAACACACGTTCCAGCCCATCTTTTCGAGATACTACAAGCCAGCGTAGCTACCGCGATTCGAGTCCGTCCAGGATGGCCTATATCAAGGATGGCAATCGA